CCCCAAAACCCCAAAACCCCAAAACCCCAAAACCCCTATATATTTTTACATCGTGGAAATATATAAATTTAAAAACTTTCTACTATGATTCGTAAGGTAAAGCAGCAATTTTGTTAAAACCTGACTGTTTAGAACCAATCAGGCCTCCACAACCGAGCTAGATCAATGCTGATTTCGGAGAGTGTCAGCCGTATCGAAAGTGCACAGTAAGTTTTGGCTGTATATCCCTTGTAACTCCTTGTAGTCGGAAAGGGAAAAGTCTGTTCAGGATTGGTAAATAACCCAGAATTTATCAAACACGGCTTGAATGAGACTAATAAGGAGTATTTGGACAAAATAGCGCAAGGGAAAATCAAGGAAAACCCGTATAGCTACGTATCCAAAATTTATGGAGGTTTTTGTTAGAATTATTTTTAGAAATCAGCCAGAGGTACAACCAAGGCTTCTACGAGCCAAGCTTCATGTCCTCAAGGTACTTTTGGATAATTAGTTTAGTGAGTCTGAGCTAGGGGATTATAAGCATGATCCTAGAAGATGGAGAAGGAGAAGCCCACTCAAGTCGGATAGAGGAGATGTGAGAACTAAGAGCAAGTGGAAATAAAGAAAGACCTTCCGATATGTACTCGTTGTACAGAAGGGTCTATAAGCTTCTCCTTGATGGGAAATATGACAAGAAGAAATATGAGCATGATTATAATATTAGGAGCTATAATGTTCTTAATATTAGCGTTCCTGATGAAGTCAAGAAAAATGACAACCTCGGAGAGCTACCACTTATCAAGAAATTACTTATATAAAAACAAATCTTCGCAAGAAATTCGCTAAAAACGACCAAATCAAACTACTTTCAAAGAACATAGGTAATCTTCCCACTAGAACCATTTCCGTACCTTTAAGTCCCCCAATTCCTTCTATAAACTCAATTTTCCTTCTTTTAGAGAATAGGGAAGAAGTCAAAGCATGCAGGAAAAATTCAGCTCTCAACCTCGCTTATATGAATAAAAATAAAAAATTTCTTCGCGACTCTGAACAAGGTAGTAGGGCTAAGCGAAGAAGAGAAGGAATCGAGAAATTGAAGGGAATACAAAAGGAAAAGAAAGAAAAGATCAAACATACAAGGCCAGGACATAAGTTCATGGTTAGTAAACTCTTGCAGAAGACTGATGTTTCCTTGTTTGACTTTAAGAGAAATCCCAAAGTTCTGTTTAAAATTCAGAAACCCCAGAATCAAAGAAATAGTGTTTTAGGTGAGGCTTTGGGCTGTTTTGGGTGAAATTTTGTATTTAGATGAAGCAATGAAGGAATTGAAGGTTATTGAGAACCAGATGAGTCATAGCTCAGCTATTCATTTTGATAACTATAAACTTCCAGATTCTAATCATAAAAGTTGCTATGATGAGGTAAATCCATATGAATTTTCTATATAGATCGTTGTTGACAGAAGCAGAGTAAATCAAAGTGTACAAAGAGTTACTGAATATTCCTTTATAGAGGTAAGAACACTAATGTTAACCTCTGTAGCAATAAATCTAGCCAAAAGCAGCATGTATGCAGTCGGATCTAGCGAAATAGACACTTGTCCTAGTTGTGTCATTTCTCTATTTTGCCGACAGAAATTGTGTTTATGACAATGCTGTTCTTAGGTCATTCTTAATTTCAATAAATCATAAAAATATTGGGGTTTTGGGGTTTTGGGGTTTTGGGGTTTTGGGG